TTAATACAATTTAAATCACTGTGAATATTGCACATTTTTATAAGTATTTTAAGAGCAGTAATGGTTAGAGTAATGGTTAAAAATATAACTAAGATATGCTACCATACCTATAAAGTTACCATAAATGTGCCAATAATGCCTTGATTTAAATGGTTTCAGTATAGATATTATGGAGGTGAAGTTAAAGAATCATTCCTTGTATTGAAAAATGTTTAAATACTTTAATTATTTTATAAAGTTTTATGTCGACATAGCACAAATTTTATGTCGACATAGCACAGCGAACATTGTGTAGCTCCTATTTTGAGATGCAGCTGACACGCTTGGGGTTCATCTTTTTATTAGTCATATATATTTTTTTTAATTTCAGGGGTTTCATATTTTTTATCTATTGATGTTAATTCATTGAGTTATTTTTTTATGTATTAAAATTTCATAGAATAATTCCATCAGTATAGCAGGCCTTGTTATGAGAGGTGCATATAGCAGGCTTTGTTATGAGATTTTGTAGCGTAACAGAAGAGTAATTCAAGTTATTTTAACTTTATTTAGTATATAAATTATTAAAAGTTGAATTACGTCAGTGTCTTATTTTAAAGTTACGCATTGTAATTAAATTTAATTTGAAATCACATAAAAAACTATTTAAAGTCTAAATATCTTAAAGTTAAACAAATTTGTTATAAAAAAAAAAATTATTAAACTTAAATAAATTGTTTAAAAAAATATGTATTTCTTTATTTTAAAAAATTTATATTTTTTATTCCTTAAAACAATCACAAAATTATTGACTTACGTTTGCTTTCTCACAATTTTTTTTTTTTTTTTTTTAGATGAGGGAACACTTGTTTATCGGTGAATTTCTTAGCAGTCAAAATAATTTTTATTTTTTTTAATCAACAATTTTTTTTAAAGAATTTCTTAAAAAGCTTTTCAAATTTTTAAACAAAACTTAATTTAAATTTGATTTAAAAAAAAAATTTCAAAATTGCATTTAAAATGTTTTTACAACAATTAATTACTCCTTAATGTTACCCACAATATCTTTTTTAATTCCAATTGGAAAAAGTTAATGCTTAATGCTTAGGAAAAATCGCTACATAAAATGTGAATAGCGCAACACTTTTTAATGAGGCCTGTACAGCTGTAGTTGCAGTGCAGAGTACCAGACACTGCAGAGATTTTTAGGTGAAAGAATCAAAAGAATTAATAATAACTTATGTTTAAATAAGCACAAACAACGTTGTTAAAAAAAAATTATTTGTACAACATAAAAATAATAAAAAATAAGTTGTATGCGCATACAACTATTTACATGAAATAAGTTATAATAAACTAGTGTAGTAACAAATTATGTGTAATAAACACATTAAAAATTAGTACTAACTAAATATAGGGTTCGTTCTGTAAGTGGATCATTCACAAATTATGCATTTATGAACAATCCTTATACATTTTGATTAATTGATTACAAAATTACAAAAAAATATATTTTAACTTATATTTTTTAAAAAATATTTGGATATATAGAAGAATAAAATTTTAAACAAATATCTAGAATACCGGAAATATCCAGAAAAAGACAATTTGTTAACACTGTATATGGAAAAAAATGAGAAAACAAAATGAAATAGTATTTCAATATTTAAATAAAGGTTAAAAAATGAATTTAATTAATATAAAAATTATTAATTCAAATTACACTAGATATTTAGATTAAATATTAAAAATAATTAATAACTTATGTTTAAATATGCGCACATAAATAAAAAAAAATTAGTTCTACCCATGTACAACTAATATTTTATTATTTGTACAACACACAACATACTAACTAAATACTGTGTTGTGTAATTTATGAAAAATCTCTTTACAGTTTGATTATTTGATGACAAGGTTAGAAGAAAACATATTTCAACTTAATTATTAAAAACATGGAAATTCAGAAATATCTGGAAAAAGATAATCCCTGTAAATGAAAACCATATGAAAAAATAAAATGAAATTTTATTTGGAACCTATATACACATCATGTAAAGAAACCCTTATGGATTTCATAGCCCTTGTACAACTCCAACAGGAATATCTGAAAAGATCATACCTATATCTGTTTTGGTCTCCTATGGGATCAATATTTAGTTGTTTAAGGATATCTCATATAGTGCTTTAAAAAAAACTAGAAACTTGATAAAAATAAAATTGACTAAACATAAATGTTTATATAACACAGTAATGTCTGCAAATTATGGTCTAAATATAAGCCTTTTTAGTGCTTCCAATACCGATACCATTTTTGAATACCGTATATCAGTACTAAATAATTACAATACCGGTAATACCGGTATAATACCGGTATTAAACTTTATTTTTAAATTTATCATAATCTAAATAAAATCTCAAGTTAATAGTAAAAATTTTATTGATTCAATCAGCTTATTTATTTTATATCAAAACTACTGACTTTTTCATTTTTCGTTTTTTTCTGCTTTGTAAAATGAGCCCGTTAAAAACATAGGGTGTCCAGAAAATCATCTTCAAAAGATCATCTAATTTTGTTGGCTTCACAGTTTTCAAGTAATGGTAGGAATTTTGCAAATATATACAACGATTTCCTCCTTCTTCAAAAATTCCTATTTCAATACATATAATTTTTGATGAATTATTCGAAACATTCAATTTTCCCTTGTTGTTACATTTCTTATTTTTCAAATGACAAGTTTACAGCGTTGTCCACAGAATCACTATCGGAAAAAACGCTGGTGAAAGGGAGAGGACTATACCCTTTCTGATTGAGCCGATCTTTCAGTCGAGTAATGGTATTTACAATGGCTAATTTGCTATGGTGCTCAAAAGATAGAGCTAGATCCAAATTCTTGTAACGTTGATGTCCCTTGTGCAAAAAATGTTGTATGCTGGAAAAAGAGTACGTTGCTCATTGAATTGTTGCACCAACATAACTTTACAGCTAAATCGATTTCTCAAAGGTTATCTATCATGAAAATGTTGTATCGGCACACAACAGAGTTGCATGATTTTGGCACAATGTTTCCACAGCCAGTTTTACTGGCGCAAGACATAAGTTAACGTTAGAAAAATTTGATAACATTAAGTTATCAAATTTTTCTAACGTGCGTTTTTGAATTTTGATCATATTTTGTCGGAGAACGGCGAAATAAAAATTTCACAACGGTGCGCACCTTTTTGATTAACGGCTGCAAATCATCAGTCAGTTCAATAGAGTCATTCTCTTCACTTATTATAATTTGAAACCCGCCGGAAAAGTCTTCATCATTATTGGTTATGTTTGTGTCATCAGTATTTCCTCGTAACTTTCTCTGTTTTTGCATATTACTTTCAAGTTTTTTTTGCATAAATTGACAATTTTTTTGCACAAAATATCTTGAATACCTAGTTGAATCCCATGCCTAATGCACAACTGTTGATCACAGTTACTTAAATGCCCCACTTTCTACATTACCGAAACTTTTCATATTTACGTTAGTAAATATGAAAAGTAAAATTCAAACATGCGTTCTACATTAAAGCGAGTGACGTAATGATAATATTTTAAATTGGTGCTTCATTATTTAATGAAAACACGAAAGTAAATGGAATACTTAAAACTTCCAGTCACGATCAAACAACGCTTCCGGTAAGAAAAAGATAGCTAGATGACAAAAGACGTGTTTAAATCGTCTAAAACAAGTATTCTACGTATTTTATACGTCTTAAACGCTAGCTGTTCGCTGGCTAGTTGCTAGCTCATTTCCGACCAAACCTAGTGGGAAATGAGCTGGCAACTAGATATTACGTATAAAGTACGTAGAATACATGTTTTAGACAATTTAAACACGTCTTTTCTCATCTAGCTATCTTTTTCCTACCGGAAGCGTTGTTGAAAGTTTTAAGTATTTCATTTACTTTAGTGTTTCACGTAAAGAGGGCGATAGCACCTGCTATATCATAAGCCCTCTACATATATTTTTAATACCGGTATTGAGCCAAACCAATACCGGTATTTCGGTACTTAAAAATGTCCGGTAATACCGGTATTCCGGTACCGGTACTACCGGTATTGGAAGCACTAAGCCTTTTAAAAAATTAAACTTATAAAAATAGATTTAAAAAATAAAATATATCAAGCTTTACCTTTATAACAATAATAACTTCCAATGCTGTTGACACAAACTTTGTTTGTCGCGTAGCAAATATCAATCAAACTATCACATTCATTAATATCTAAAAAAAGAGTAACTCATCACAATTTAATGTTAAAGTAAATATTTATAACTTTTAATTACAAAACCATGGGGAAAAAAATAATTTTTGGACAATGGGAAAAATAAACTTGGGAAAATTACTTTTGCTAAACTTTTGTGAGTGTTTTTTTTCACACAAAATTTTAGCAAAATCACTATATTTACTTCTAAATAAACACACCTTAAGCTTTATATCAATTTTAAACAAAATATTTTACATTTTATAATGCCATTTGTCAGGTAACATGTTAAACATACATATTTTTTTATATCCCGGTAGAAGTCCTCTCTATATTGCTTTTGAAAATATTTCTATATACTACTTGAATTTGTTTACTGTAAAAAACTTAATTTAAAAAAAGAGTTTTCAATATTAGCAGTTGCCCAACAAAAACCATAAACAAGGAAAAGTACAATAAACTACAAAACTATATATTTTATATTTGGAACTTTAAGCTTTAAATGCTCTTCTTTTTGATATCTATACATTTAAGATATGTTCAACCTCTGTTTTGAAAATAAATTACGAAAATTAGATGAAAGAAAATAAATAATGTAAGTAAAAGTAAAAACTTGTAAAAAAATTCAAAACAGAAAATATTGGAAAGTATCATATACAATTTACTAGATTGTACAGCGGAAAGAAAAGAGCCGAAACATTGACAAGGAAACAGTAAAATAAGCAGAAAAATACAATTTGCAACATTAAAAAAATAACCACCACAATAGTATTTCTCTATATGATACTGCTAAATAATTTGGTTGTAATCAATTTTTTGAGTCAAAAACATTTAAAAAGCAGGGGGAAAAAAGCAAAAAAATGCTGTTTAAAAAAAAAAAAAACTGTAAAAAAAAAAAGGGAGTGTAGGGGTTGAGTGCTAGCCTAGTGCAGGTCTTGTAATGAGTTTTCGTTGCATATCAGTAAGTAACGCAAGGAATTGTAACTATATACAATATCCATATTTAGATTATTAAATGAGAAGCTTGGGATGATCTCATCTTAGATCAAGCTTAGTTATGGTCGATCAAAACTGCGCCAATTAGAAGTTAGTAATTCTATGAGAGAAATAGAATGCTGAAGAGATTTAAAATGGAACAACATTGTGGTGTGATGTAACAGCATGGCAAAGGAAGTTGTTATAGAATGCGATGGCGTAATAATTTAGGATGCAGCCTGGCTTCAAAGTATTAAGGATTTAACACATATTAATACTGCTGAATTAGATACTATACTGCATGGTATGCCATTCTTTTTCCCATACTTTCATACTGATGCAACAGTTCCATCAACAATTGTATTACTTCTTGTTGGCAATCTTCAAATTTCTTCAGATGTTCTTTCAATTCATATTTGCTTGGCGAATTATCATTAATCATTAAAGTGGTTTATATCTTGTTTTTATCAATAGTGTTTTGGTTAATGTTTTCTTTTGCTTTAGAGTTACTATAATCATATCAACGCCTTGATTTAAATTCAATGTTTCTAAAGATTTTTCTTTTTTTTTGTATTTGGAACTTTTAAAAACTTTTTAAAGTACTTCTTTTTGATATCTACACCTTTAAGTACAACTTCTGTCTTGAAATTAAATAAAAATTCAAAGTAAAAACTATTGGAAAGTCATATACAATATAACAGATTGTAAATTCTGCTATTACTTTTTCTGACCTCAGTGTGAGGTCAGATGGGTACTATCCTATGATTCGCAAATTTTGATGGGTACTATCCTATGATTCTCAAAGACTCCAATAGTCACATGCTTGACTTAGGGGTATACAAACGCATCAATTTACCTATTTGTCATGAAATCAGGATCAAATCCTTTGACCATTCTTTATTGTGCTTCTACTTAACACCTCTTCACTCTATCACCTTTCTCTTTGTTTTTTATTGTTCTCCTTCTTCCCAAAACTGCACTCTTTTAGATATAATTTCTGATCAAATTGACCATGCTCTCTTTCTTTACCCCTCTAACAATATTGTTGTTATTGGTGACTTTAATTTCATCACACTGAATGACTTGGCTCTAATGCCACTAAATCTGCTGGCACTAAAGCTTACAACTTCTGCATTTCTCAATCTCTTACTCAGATAGTTAACTTTGTGACTCATTTTCTGACAACCCAAATCATTTATTTTCACTCTTTGATTTTTGTCTGGTGTCTGATCCTAATTTCTCCAGAACTCTCTTTAATTTTTTTTAAACTATTTAATAAGTGCTTGACTGAGTCTAGTTTTTCTGCCTGCTGGAAAATGGCATCTGTTGTTCCAATTTTCAAAAATTCAGGTGAACAATTTTACCCTTCTTTCTGTTATTAGCAAGGTCTTTGAGTCTTTGATAAACAAATTTCTCACATCCCATCTTGAGTCAAATAACTTGCTGTCAGACAATCAATACGATTTTTGATCCTATTGCTCTACAGCTGACTTGCTAACTGCTATGACTGAAAGATTTTATTGTGCATTAGATGGAGGCAAAGAGGCTAGAGTTATTGCTCTTGACATATCTAAGGCTTTTGACAAAGTTTGGCATGTTGGTCTTCTAAATAAGCTAGATTCGTATGGTATTAAATTGTTTATTTCTAACCGCTGTGTTAAAGTCATCCTCGAAGGCCAACACTCTTCCTTATTTCCAGTAACTTCTGAGGTACCTCAAGGTTCTATCCTTGGTCCTATTTAGTTTCTTATCTACATTAATGATCTTCCCAACAACCTTACATCTAAAGTAGCTCTTTTTGCTTACATCTAAAGTACCTCACATCTAAAGTAGCTCACAACAGGAGTATAAAGTTGATGACTCAACTTTATATTCCCGTTGTGACAAAAAGTCTTCTCTTTTTGATCGCTTAGAACAGGCAGCTGATCTTGAATCTGATCTCACTTCTGTAACAGATTGGGGCTCACAGTGGCTTGTGAAATTTACCTCCAACAAAACTCAGTTATTCACTGCAAACAACTATTGTAGTACTGTCGACATTTCTATATTAATGAATGGCATATTGCTGTTGCCATATTTCTGCTGGTTCTCCTAATGATGCTTTTTCTCTTCTAGAAAAATTCCAAAAATGCATTGTAAACAGTTGGACCCAGTCTATTTGGTAAGCTTGACCCTCTTTCCCATCGTCATAAAGTTGCATCTCTTTGTCTTTCCTACAAATACTACCATGGTCACTACTCAAAGAAGCTATCATCTCTAGTTCCATCAACTAAAACTCATTCTTGCTTGACTTGTCATTCATCAAAGTCTCATTTACTTACTGTATCTGTCCCTGTGTGCTCTAAAAACTTTTATTTATCAAGTTTTTTCCCATGCACTTTAACTCTTTGGAACTCAAACAACCTTCAACTTTTTAAGCCTTATACCAACCATTTCGTTGCTCTATAACTCTATTCTTTTTTTCTAGTAACTCCCAACTTAATAGTGGTTGCTTGCAGCTTTTTTGGAAGTAAATTAGAATTAAAAAAAAAAAAACTGTATACCTATGACCCACTTGCAGCAGTAAATTTTAGAATGCAATAGCTTAGCATTGTTTGTTTGCTATATTTTTGCTAATATTTGCAAATTATAGTTAGTCTAGTGAACCTGTTCTTGTATTTAAAAACATAGCTGAAGTAGAAAATGAAGAAATTTGTCAACCAGTTATAAAATGTCGCTCAGTCTCAGCGACCTTTTATATCAACATTGTGTGGCTAAAAGATTTCCTGATGAAAGCATTTTCTATGTTGCCATAATGAAACGGTAGTTTTACCTCTCTCTTTAACATTTCCGCAAGCTTTACAAGATTTAATTACAGGGAATTATATAGATTTATTATATAGATTATTTCTAACATGAATTTTCTAAAACATATTAGAAACTATAATGCCTGTCTTTCTTTTGCTTCATTTACATGCCAAAACAATGTCAACTGTATAGCAATGACCCACTTCCAGAAGTGAACTTTAGATTGCAACAACTCAGCAATGATCTTTGCTTATGTGACTTATTGTTTCATTTAAAAACTATAGTTTGTAAATGAAACAATAAGTAGAAGATGAAGAAATTCCCCAACTAGGTCGCTCAGTCATAGTTGTAAAAATATCTTTACTTAAAAGGCAAGATAGACATTGCTATAATCTCTCTTCACATAATAAAGTTGCAGTTGTATTTGTTGGTGAAGATTGTGCTCCACCTGCTTCCAGGGAAGTTGTTATCTACCCAAAAGATCATCCTCTTAATATTATATCAAGTATATCTGCCATCATAGATCCTATAGTTTATGCTGATGATCTTTGTGATGCTGGTTGAATGGTTGATGCTGATGCTATGATGATGCTGGTTGGCGTAATCAGTTGGTTCACAATCCTGAGTATTACAACTATAGGTTTTCAGTTAAACAACATTTTTCTTCAATCTTTTATGGCAAGAAACTGTTTTAGCAATATGATGTTCATGCATGCATGTCAAAATTGAATGGTTATTTCAATTCAAATTGATAATTTCTAATGAAAGCAAGGCTTTCATTAGAATAATTTCATTTCAAATAAATTGAGACCGAAAGCCATAAATAAAGGTTTTAAATCTGTTACAGCTGCATGAATTGATATAGCAGCAACTCTTCTTACAAATGGATCTACGCTACATAGCTTATTCAAACTTCATGTCCCAATATTGGGTGACAGCACATGTAATATAACTCCTAACTTTAAACAGGAATATTTTTTAAGACAAGTTATTTTGTTTTTGCAGTAATATAGAAATATAAGTTAAAAATAAAATGTAGAAAAAACAACCAGCTTTTGTTACTGTAGTTTTTGGTTTGCTGTTATAACTGATTTTAAGTAGTTATCAACTGTTTGCTGTTATAACTGATTTTAAGTAGTTATTATATGATGGCTATGGATTATGTTATAATCCATAGCCATCATAGTGTAGACCTAGGCTGTTAAACTAACCAAGCAAGTGACTTGCAATATGTGTAGAGCTAGACTGTTATACTAACTGGCTTTTTTTTTAACTAAAAATCTATTTTATAAAAAAAAAAGAAAGTAAAATAGCGTAAAGCAAGATTGCCAACTTTGCAATCCAAGCAGCGTACTTAACAGAGGTGTGACAGAATTTAGTGCCAAAAAGTGTTACTGCTACATATCCAGGTTCTACTGCCTAGCTTTTTATAGTTATATATATATATATATATATATATATATATATATATATATATATATATATATATATATATATATATATATATATATATATATATATATATATATATATATATATATATATATATATATATATACACATAAAACACATGTCTGTTAATATTTAGTGTAATTCGGTTCTACAAATTTTTTATCCTATATGGTATTGCTCTGCATAATTGTTGTGATGTTTTTGTCGTAATTTTTTATGTTGATAGACAGCTTAGCTTACCTTACTGTTGATGTCTATCGTTAAAAATCATTACAGGTAGTTTGATTACTCTACCTAACTGCTTTTAATCACTCACTAAAAGCCAAGAAAACATTTAATATTACTATAGTACAATTGTTTAAATCTCATATATTTTTTTTTGTTTTAAAAAATTTTGCTCTTTAAATGAGATTATTTAATTGAGATAGTTGGGATGAGATGAGATATTTTTCATTAACAAAATTGGTTTTAAAATTGATCCCTGTTGCCAAAATGTTCTTAAAATATAGTAATTTAAAAAAAAAAATCTGTTTTCCATTTTGTTTAAAGTCTTTTTAAATTTTTTTATTTATTACCTAGTTTACTTTTTTATAACTTCCTACAACTATGGAATCACATAACTTTTTAAATACATGTTTAATGGTCATTCCTTTTGGTAATAAATATTTTTATTTATTTTAATATAGCTTTCTTTATGATAGACTGTGCTTGATTGCTCAGTCCTGTAAATGATGGCTGTTATAACTGATTTTGAAAAATGCCTTTAACGTTAATTGTTTTTTTAAGAAAAATGTTGTTTTTTTAAGAAAAATGTTGTGTTTTAAATAGATTAAATTTTTTTTTATATACAGTGAAATCTTGATATCTCAAACCCTGGATAACTCAAACTACTTTTGAGTTTTCCTTTAACCCTCACTAATACTTTCATATAAAAACAACTCAATAACCTGTTAGCTCGAACATTTGCTGTCGAATGTTCGAGCTAATGGGTTAAACCATTTTATTTCTTCTCAAGGTTTATATTTTTCTGATAACTTGAACTTTAGAACAAAAATATAAAAAAAACAACTCAATAAAGCCCTTACATTGCAATGTAAACGATAACAATGTAATGATAACAATGCAAATGATAACACTTTGATAGTTTAGCTTATAGTATAAGTTATACTAACGTGCGTTGCAATATTATAATTAAATTTGTTGTGTTTACATTTTATTATGGCTACTATCGCTGTAATGAGAAAAATGAACACAAAATCAATTAAAGAAAAGTACGCTGCTTAAGGGGAAATTAAAGAAGTATTGTCAAAGTCTCAGGTTGCTATGAAATATGGCCTTCTAAAAAATACACTGTCAACATGGATCAAAAAAAAAAAGGAAAAATTTTCGATAAAATTTTTGATAACTCAAATTGTTTTTACTTATCCACAATAGTTTGTGTAATAGAATGTCCTAATAACTCGAACAGTTGCTAATTTGAACTATTTTCTAGGTCCCTTGGAGATTCAAGATATCAGGAGTTCACTGTATTTCTGTTACATATTTAAACATATATTATGTAAATAAAATTTATTTTGAAGATATATAAGCTTAAGACTTGCTTTTTTTACGGATTTTTCAAAAAGTGAACATAAGTTTAAATAAATATTTTTGACATTTGTTTTATTACCATTTTAGCTCATCATCGATACAAAAATCGATGAAAAGTTTCAAAAAACTAATAAACTTTAATGCAATATGTTAATACCAAACAATGTTAAGACCAACGCAATGTTGAGACCAACGCAATGTTAAAACCAACGCAATGTTAAGACCAACAAAATGTTGAGACCAACGCAATGTTAAGACCAATGCAATGTTAAGACTAACGATATGTTGAGACCAATGCAATGTTAAGACCAACGCAATGTTAAGACTAATGCAATGTTGAGACCAACGCAATGTTAAGACCAACACAATGTTAAGACCAACGCAATGTTAAGACCAACGTAATGTTAAGACCAATGCAATGTTAAGACCAACGCAACACAATTCAGAACAATTTTCTCTAAATATTTTCTGAATTAGTATTATTTGACTTGTGAATACTGAAATAAATATATGTTGGCATGCATAAACTCTAAAGTAGATTGATCTTTTTACAGTAATTTTTTTTCTTTAAATTTCTGCTAAATCATTACAAAAAAAAAAAATAAAGATAGCTTAAGTAATAAACTTTGATATTATTTGAGTCAAAAAATTTGATATTTAATTTAATAAATCCACTTTGCTATGCTTTGCACATATGACGCTCAAACATTAAAAAATATCTCTAATGAAGCTAAGATCATTATTTTTTGGAACCTATTGAAAACAAATAAAGAATAAATGTAAGGTGTGAATCAGAGTTACAGGCTTGGACAGCTATAAAGTATTATACATTAACTTAAAGTCAAGTTAGAAATTTTTTTGTTGTTGCTATTTACATAAATCTATTGGAATAAAATAAGATAAACTATAAAAATGGTAGGTGCAAAACATAAAACTTGTTTGTTTATTTTATTGTGCACAACTAAAAATGTATTTTTGTTAATGTTGATTATTTAATAATTGGTTTAATATTTATTTAATTAAAAAAAAAAGATTTTTAAACCAAATGCTTGCAGTAGGAAGTAAAATTAGCAAATAAAAAATATTTGTTTAAAATTAGCGAAGTTACAAAGACAATATTGACTTTTTTTAATACAACACACCTTTTAAAACTTACAACCAACTTCTTCTAAAATAAAACAAAATGTTTTTAGAGTGACATACATTTTACATTTAATTTTCTCCAAATAAAATTAAATGTGATTTTAACAACCCCCTCACTAAGTTAGGGGACTGAAACTTTATGTGGTCATCACTTTAAAACACAACAATATTTGTTGATAAATTTGAACTTAGGGAACAAATCATGATTTAACTTAAAATTAAATCCAAAGTGCAAAAAAAATTTTTTCAAATGTTATACTGCTCACATAGGGTTAATAAATGTATAGAAATTTTGGGGTATTTTGTTCCCTTTTTTAAACTCTAAATTTATTCTATGTATATGTTGATCATTTTATTTGAACTGAAAAGTTGTTACATGAAAAGTCTAACAGAAAGGGTTAACATATTTGACACACCATTTTACAGGTCTTTTTTTGCTAGTAAGTATATAACATATGATAAATATTTTAAACAAATATTGATGCAACTTTCCTGTTTTTATTTTGCTGTATTTTGTATAATTAATACAATTAAAATTTAACTACCTTATAAACTTAATTACCTGGCAATGCTGATAATGTGGTCCTAGTCACTATTTTTTTTTTTTTTAATTATTCATCTCCCCAAGGCCCGAGGGGGCCACTACAGTCGAGGAGACTACTCTTTTTATTTATTATTATTTTTGTTTTGTTTTGTTGTAAATCGTGGTACAACCCTCTCTCAACTCTTTAACTCCGAAACACGAACCTTGACAAGCAAGGCCGCTGCGCAGAGAAATTAAGTTGAGCGTGGTACTTCCACGGACGTGGTGGGAGTCGAACTCCGAACCTCTTGCTTACAAAGCGAGCGCTCTTACCACTACACCACTACCGCATTTATTATTCATAAACATACTATTCATAAAAATAAAAAGCAAAACTAAAATTTGAAAACATTACAAACAACTGACCAACACAGCTGTTGCTTTCCGATTTCCATCGAGACTTGCAAATACAATTGTAACTTCCATTAGTGTTCACACAATAACTGCTAGTCAAGCTACAATATTCATTCAACTCAGCGCATTCATCGACATCTGAAAACAATTACAAAGTTATAAACAAAAATACTTATTTCTGAGTATGTCATTTAAGACAGCAACATATATTAGGGCAGAACAAAAAATTTCATCTTGACATTTTTAAGTTACATTTTATATCAAATTGGTTATCATTCGTAACAAAGTTACACTTTATTACTTATAAATAAACTTTTAAAAAAACACAAATGTTTTTTTATCATTATCATATTACTATTTATTGTGTCTTATTTTATTATTGTGTCCCAAGAATTTCTTAAAAAAAATCACCAGATAATTGTTTTTAGACTAGTTTACTTTTATATAAAAAAGTAAAATGTGTCATTTATCTAGTTTATGTTTTAGAAACAGGCAATATTTAAGTATTTTAAATTTTTAGGAAATACTTTTAAAGTTTTTTTAATGTCTTAAAACCTATTTAATAAAATTATTGCCAAATCAAATCAGTCTGTATACAATTCATCAACCAGCATGCCATCGTTTTCATTTTACCATCAACTAAAACCACTGGTATAGCATAATAATAAAGCAAACAAGTAATAACTTTTTACAAGTTTCTATTTCACGCAATGTTTATACTTTAGTAATTAATATTAAACTAGTTGACTTGTTTATTTGTTAATTGGTTGTTATCGAGTAGATACAGAAAAATCCGTTCAACTTTAAATTGAGATTTCTTTAAAACCATAAATGCTTTTTATTTAAGTTTTTTCTACTTTAAATGTGTTTACATCAATTGGGGGTTTAACTTAATTTTAAAAGGCTCAATAGCTGTTTGGCAAGAGATCGAACTTTATAGCAGGTTGATGCCATCATTTCATAGATTTTTTCTTTTTTCACTTTATTGGTGGCATTAATCCACTTTTTAGGAAGTTCTTTTTATTTCTTGTTACTCCACCTGTTTCACGAACAACTCATTTAACTATAGCCCAAAAATCTTCAATGTTGTGCTCTTCAGGGCAATTTGGAGAATTCACATCTTTAGGAACAATTTTTACATTATTATCTTTACACTACTGTAGAACTTTTTTAAAATTATTAGAAGAAAAAAATTCTGGGCAAAAGAGACATCAGTTTTTATGTTTTTTCATAAATAACAAAAGCCATTTTTGGAGGCATTCTTTTATGTAGAGATCGGCAGTCAAGGTCTTTTTAATGACGAAACAAGATATCTGCATACCATAGCTACAAATTGCTTGCCACACAAGGAACTTGGATGAAAACTATTCTTGTTGAATATATTTATTTTAAAGTCTATAAATTAAGCAAGAGTAGACACAGGATAATTTTACATTTTTACTATGAAAACTACATGATAACGGCATTGTGAAAAATCCAAATATAAATATGTTCATATAAATAGTTTGCTAAAAATTTGTGGTATTGGAACTTAGGAACAATAATACCCAAAAATGTTAGAGACCATGTCTCAAATATTAATTTAATAAGTTAATAAATTTTTTAAATATATTATCTCATACTATATCTAAATTCATGGACAGATTTTAATTTTAATCTAATCATTTTTAGTGCTCAAAAATAATTGTAAATCAAAATTAATCAAAAGTAAAAGTAAAATTTGATAAAAACCATGTAAAATGTACAACCCCCTCATTTAGGGGTGGCTCTAAAAAAATAAAAGAGTATTGAGTTTCTTGATGGATTTAGTATTAGGTAGTAAATTTAAGTATTTTATTAACTCAACTCCCTCATTTTTTTGGGGGTATTTTTGTTACCAAGCTCCAATCTCTGCAACTTTTTTACACTAATTTTTGTCACATTCTCTTTTTTTTTTTTTTTTAAATTTCAATAAATCTCTTTGAAGCCATGAAGACCACTAGAGTTGAGGAGGCTACTTTTAGTTGTGGTTACAACCCTCTCACAACTCTATAACTACGAAACACTAACTTTGTTGAAAAAAGCAGCTGTGTGAAGAAATAAGTTGAGCGTGGTACTACACAAATGTGGTGGGAATCGAACTCAGAACCTCTTGCTTATGAGGCCAGTTCTCTACCACTACAACACTACCACATATCATTTAATTTAAGCATAATAAACTTTAGACAAACTATGACAAATTTTAAATAAAATGACTTGAATTGCATTTTAATTGCTTTTAAAATAGGCTTGACAACCCCCTTAACTTTTTTCTTCTCTCTATTTAATTGATATAAAGTGGTATATAATTAACATTTTTTGTTATACAGTGGAGAAAATAGAATTAGCCTCACAATGTACTGATCCAATATTTTTTAAATCTGTAAGCAAATTTGTGCGGTGCATCTTTTGTATCCACACACATAATTGGTGTTACAAACAACAACTTTTTAGATTATAATATAGCATAACTAAATTGCAGTAGATTTAATAAAACCATAAAATGTATAATACTTGATACTTGCAGTTACAATTAGAATTAGCCTCATCAATAACTATATTCAGTTTACTTGTATATTTTGATCTGGTGATACGTATTTGCAATTTTTGTTATTATTATTTGTAAGTTAAACAGTTTAAATTTTTTACATTTGGTTTTTGATACCTTTATTTGAAATGGGATGTGGTAAACAATTAACAAATGAAGATTTAGCAGTAATCAAAACATACAAAAAAAACAACAGGTATATCTAATCGGGAAGTTGCAAAGAAAATTAAAAGATCTCCAAAAGTTCTTAATAATACTTCAAGATTGGCATTAGTTATAGAGCTTATAAAGGAAGTGATGGCAAACGTAAAAATGATAATTGTACTAAACAAGTTATTGTACATCGTGCTGCTGTTCAGCATATGACTGCATCTCAAATTCATGCTGATATACAATTACCTGTAACTATTCAATGTGTGCGACAAATCATACATGAAGATCCACAATTTGGAAAAAGCGTAAACCATAACCAAAACTTACTGTTCATCATAAAGAAGTTGGACTACAATTTGCAAAAGAGCACATGTCTCGACAGGAAGAGTGAATTTTAGTTCTCTTTAGTAATAAAAAAAGTTCAATCCTAATGGTAATAGTCCTAATGGCTATCAATATTACTGTCCTCAATATTAATGGCAGAACCTTCTTAAAAAAAAAAAAAGGATGAGTCGTAACTTTGGTGGTGGAATTGTTATGGTTTTGGGGATTTTTTCGATTGCTGGAAAACTTCCACTGGCATGGATTTAAACAAAAATTAATTTACAGGACTAGATTGAACTATTAGAAACCGGTTTGCTTGAACATGGTGAAGAATTGAAGGGTGAAATTTTCTCTTTTTCACAAAATAATGCTGCTATCCATTATTCAAAGCTTAAAAAAGCTTGGTTTAGAGAAAAAAAATTCCACGTAATGGAATGGGCTTCATGCAGTTCAGATCTTAACCTAATTGAAAATCTATGGGAAATACTTTGTAGAAAGGTTTTTGAAAATGGTATGCAATATAAATCCTCATTGGAGCTTAAAATTTGTATCAGAGAAGCTTGGAATGAAATATCTATAGAAACTATCCAAAATCTTGTGACTAATATGTCAAGTCACATATTTGAAGTCATTAAAAATTTCAGGAAGCAATACTAAATATTAAATGAGCGTAAAAACAAAATATTTTCTGTATTTTCTTGTATATAATGTAAATGAGGTTAATTCTGTTTTTGGTTTAATGTATAATGTAAATGAGGTTAATTCTGTTTTTTCTACAAAATGAATACTTTTAATTTTTTTTCCATTTGTAATTAATTAAACATACCAATTTATAAACTTTTTAATTGTAGTAGAAGATAATAAGAAATAAAGTATATTTAATATTTGTTTCACTGCCATTTTTTGTGAAATTAAAACAAAAAATAAAGATGACTAATTCCATTTTCTTTGCTGTATATATGAAAGTATTTTGTGAATATTTTATGTGTTTTGTTTTAAAGTTCACTTTGTAAAGATGTCTACTATATTTTCTCCACTTTCAAAATTGTATATTCTTTTTTTAGTTAACCTCAGATAATAAATTTGGTATCAAAATGTTTCATTTAATAATCTTTATATAATAGAATTAATTTGATTTAAAAAATAAAGGTTTACATTTTTTATGAAGGTAACTAGTCATAAAGATAGTTTTGAAAATGAAATTATAAAAAATTTAAACATCATAATTTCATTTTTAAGCAATTAGACATTTATTTAGGCATAATATATTAGACAACATTTTAGCATATAAATACGCAAAATATACTGTTAATTCCTACACTACATGTGAAATAATATTTTCAATTAAAATTTA